TCTTGTCCCTCCCACCACTACTTTCAAATAAGGACGTTTTACCACCTATTAAGTAACACCCCCCTGATTTTAGCTACACTCATTTGTTCATAAACTACCCCCAGTACTTGAAAAATGCGTAGGATACGAACTTTGAAATGCACTCGCTGTTTTACTACGTTAGTGTGCAATTCATATTTTTTCTGATTTTACTTTTCTTTTTGTGCATATTTGAGTTTGCGGATGCTAGGTTCAATTTAATGCAGCAATTGTCTCGACGGAACTGTGTTGTTGGCTAGTTGGTGAAACTAAACTTTGTTCCGACGGAAATGCGGTGTTCTTTCTGTACGACGAGACACACTGATCGAAGTACAAATTATTTCTTCAGAATAGTTTCATGCCAAAGAACGGGAAGTCGCGGAGTGCGACAATTCAGAACGGGTGCCACGCTCAAAACTATTTTTTTCATAATTAAATTTGTTCCAAGAATTTGTTGCCCCTCCCGGGACTCTGGTTTACGCCCGGCTGCTCTAACCACTGAGCTACCGAGGCAACCAATCCTTAGAATAGTTTTCATGAGCGTTATTATCCCTCCTTGTATATATTATTTATAATTGTCACCATCTTTTTTTACCTTGTTGGATGCAATAACGCTCGGAGAATATATTCCACAGTCGTAAAGGAATCCAAATTGTGACCATGTTACAGAGTTACTATGCATTGTAATAATTAATTTTGTTCAAAGAATTGCCCGGAACTTGAACTCATGTCAAGATGGTGATATATATATATATATATATATATATATATATATATATATATATATATATATATATATATATATATATATATCAGCATATATTAACTTGAAATTGAATGATTTTTGTCTCGGTTAGCTTACCAACCTCATCCAAAATCATTTTTCTGTCTTGATACATAAATATTTTTTTATTGAGCACCTTGCTAGCGAAATATTGTAGAAGCCTGTCGTCATGCCATTAGGGTGTCTAACGTCCCTCTTCTCTCTTCATTCCTCTCCCCATCTGTCTCGCAAACACCCACCATATAGAAAGGCATACATAAATATTCATTGACAAAAATAATGACAATTAAACAGAGTATCTTAAGAAGTCTGATAGTATTCTAGACGGTATCTTTCATAAGCAGTGAGGGTTGCCCGCTTTTCTTTTCACAATACCTGTGTCGATTTCGCTCGGCAAGGAACCCTCCTAAATATTTGCTACTAGAGTCTGATTACCGCGAATCTACTCAGCGCGATCCAGAACCGCTTGTCCATGGGTGTTAGTTCTATTGTACACGTTGTATCAAAACCTTTTACTCACAAGTTTGCTATAGAGTATTTACCACAAGCTCGCTGTGTAAATTTTACGCTGATTTTGAAAACATGGCTATAGCATTATAAAATTAAGATTTATCATTTTGTAGAATTATTATTAAAGGAGGTTTCTTTGAAATAAAACTGCTATTTTAAAAAAAAATAAACCTCGGGGCCGGGCGGGGCCAGGCCGGGTACTCCTAATGGGTTCCAGATTACCCTTAATTTTCGTCACTGGTAAGCACCTAGCCCCCACAGAAAACCTACACTTCTCTCTCTGTCAGAAAATACAAATTATACTTTTCAGGCACAAAGCGAGTCCTATTTTGCGCTTGTGGTGCAACAACCCAAAAAGTTGAAATGTTTTATGTGTTTTTCTTTAGTAACAGTAATATCTCCATTTGATGATAATTATGGGCAAGGCAAAAAATCGGTTTTAGTATTATAATGTAGTATTAATTCAACAAATAACAATTTTTTGTACACATTGATCACAATAAATGTTTTAAAAAGATTTCAAGAAGAATTTGGGCTTCAAAATGTCTGGAAATAAAGTTTCAACATTTTGAAATGTTTAAGGGTTTCTTGTTGTGGCAAAATATAATAAACTATTGGTCTGTCAAAGGCTTAAATTTGCAGTAGAATAGGTGGAAAAACTCAAACATTAATGTTATTTTAAGGCATTTATATGTTTACTTCATTGTTTCCAGTAAAATTTGGGTTCATTTATACTACTGCTATACAACAGTACGGTATTATTATTGGGTTTGATTATACAATGTACTAACTCTTATTGAGGGAATTTTTTGATAACACATATTTTTATTAAAATCTTGTCAAAGTTAAAATATGTTAAGCCTGTAGAGAAATATTATCAACTAATTATCATACAATTCTCTCCTCTAAAAATATTTCCTTTTGTTTTTCAGGTTAAAGAAATTGATGCTCATGCACTGGATTCGAGGCTTCTGTCTATTCCTACACATGCTCAATTTTGTCAACAATTTTTTCCTGTATTGTTTATCTGGAGACATATTTAGACAAGCAGTGAGAGCTTGCTTCCCATCTCAAAGATGGAAATGTTCCTGTTCAGCTGAATCATGTTTCTCAGGAGGCATATTTGAAAATTGGTTTGCAACATTCCAGGAGACACGTTAGTACTAGTGCTTCATTGACTGAGACCCAAAATTTAATAAATGTACTGTCTGAAACAGAACAATAATGAGGCATTTTCTTTTATAGAAGAGAAAAACCACCTTCAAATGAACTAAGAATATCTTATGAGGAAAAATGAAATATATAAAAAACAATAATGAGACATACTCATGTCTTCATTTATAATGTAGATGAATATTAAGAAATCATTTAAGAATGGATCTACTGCATAAATGCCTAAGTATGAGGGGTATTAAAAATATATCTACATAAATAAGAACGTTATAACACAAAAATGGATTTTTTATTTTTCTCTATATTCCCCTTTGACCTCAATACACACAATACAATTTACTAATTGTTCCAAGTGAACATATTTTAAATTAGCAGTATAGGAAATATAAAAAAAATTAAAAATATGCCAGGAATATATGTGTCCATTGTTGACAACGCTCATCGCTGCAAGCACATTTTGTTGTCAGCACTCATTGGCTAAGATGTGTTGATAAGGCAGAAATAATATTACATAACCGTTACTAAAGGACGAAGAAAGTTCGTGTCGTTTTAGCACAACTAGTTCTTTGAGATGTTTGTAAGATAGGGCGAACTTTAGTTCGGGCGGCCCTCGTGGGCACTTGGATTCGTCGTGGCAGTGGCCCGGTACTTCGGGTATAGAGAAGGGACTTGGTGTCCCGGCGCATGTGAGTCGCGCGTTGTCATACGGCAAAATGGACTCCGGTACCAGTCCGGATAACTGGCAGCTCAGAGCTTGCTGTGCGGCCCCACTCAGGCATTGATTGGGAAGGTAGCCGCGAGGGTAAACTTGAGATCCAGCTGCATCTGGATTTCGACTCGCAAATTACCCATGTGTGGTTTGCGGGGGGTGAGGATAAAAGCTCAGATGCTAAAGGTGCCCACCCAGGGGCCTCAGCCCCCCGATAGAACATGATGAGTGTGGAGTTAGTAGGCCACACGAGGCTACACAAAGTGATAGAGCAAATAATTTACTACGTATAGGAACACGATTTATCCACTTTTCGTTTCCAGGACCTGGAATACTTTGGGCCTGAAATACGTTTTTCTGTCAAAAAATGAATGATTTCCCGATTACAACACTTACTCTTTTGCGAAGTAAGGCAAGAATGTCTATCAGTAGTCACGTTTTTCGTAATACGTCATTTCTTGTTGGTAATAATTCGTCATTAATTAGGGACAAAGCGGACATTTTGCATCAACCACAAAGTAGTTAATACTCTATTTTGCATTAAAGACACGACGATAATGGTTGGTACAAGCTATGAAAATTAAGAGAATTGTTGGATATTCCGTGGAAAAAGGAATTGAAGCCCAAATATCTAGAAAAACAAAATCGTGTCAAAGTGTGAACCACGATAGAGACGAAACACAACAACCCTCTTACTGATGATAAAAAGGAAGTTATTTGAGACAGACAGAAGTTCATGTAAAACTTGCTTTACATACAAAATTTCATATATTGATCTTTCGTTAATACTCTTTATAATATCAAATTCCCTGTCCATAATAAAAATTTGTGTAGCTCGAGGTATTATAAGCTGCAGAAGCGTTGTCGTTACTGCTGAGCCATCGCAGCCAAGGAAAGGGATGTGAGAGGTTTGTTAATAATGCGATTAACGTGGAAGAAATAATTCAGTCATTTGAAAGTTGAAGTTCAATGTTTAATAAAATTTCAAGGAATTCACATGTCACAAAAACAAGAATATACAAATCGTTCCATTATACTGAAGTGAATGTTGAAATATTAAAAATAACAAGTTAATGATATTTTAATACTTACGCAAATGTGTTGACAATTGAAATAACAATATGCTACACAAATATAAGTTAAAAATAAATAAATGAACTTTATTTTGCTTTAAAATATTAAATTAAGGTATGCATATTGAACATTGTACATGCTGGTGTTAACTTTAGGATCACAAAACAGATATCTTCAGTAGCGTAACATCAAGTTCATTACATGGTCGTATACCAATTCTTTAGCATGGATGCCCCATAAAAAGTCCAGATGATTAAAAGTTGCCTTCGGTACTTGGAATATGCCGATAGGATTTCTGATTTCTTTATACGTATGGAAGACGTCCTAAATGAGAGAAAAATATTGTAACAAGTCTTATCATAAATAATACCTCGCGAACATCGGAAAGTATAGCCAAGTTCACGAATTCAGTGAACACGTATCACGTAGCGGCGAGTGGATTTATTGGAGAATTACCCTTGCTTGAGTGATATTTAGTCATTTATCAATAGTCAGGGGGCCTATTTTGGATAAGTGCCCCGCGCGATCATCTCCACAAACATAGTTTTTTGGACGACCAATTAATTCATTGTTAAAATTAGCTATGAAGTACCATTGTTTTAATATTTATAATTTTTACCCCTTCATTACTCCAATCGCCCATTCTTCAACTGAATTCTTACATAGAGTTTTTTTGGGGGTTGCTGGCTGTCTCTCAGATGTCAGATCTTTAAAATTTAAAATATCATGGGATATGATGGAACCGACAAACACTGGCGTTGTTAGACAACTTGAACTGCAGAGGAAGAAAGCAGTGCATACCAAATACATGCTACTGAATTGTCTTTGAGTCACTTATTTGAAGGAAGACATTATAATGAAAGAAAAACCGACCCTTCTTCACACGCTGGCCCAATAAGAAAATTGTTCTTTGTGAAAAGCTGCCGGTAGTAGACTTCGATCCCGTTCAACCTGAAGTGTGTGTGAACGCGATATAAATCCGAGTTACTTTAGCTAGGATCAGCCGCAATTACGGCAGATCAGCAAAGCTGTGCAGACTGGATTCTATCTGCTGAAGATCTTGCAAATAAATATAAGTGTTGTGGTGTGATATCTTTGGCATTTTTCATAAAATAATTAAAGACGTTGTCATTGCCAATTATTTAATGCAATATCGAAAGCTGCTATTGCATTAAATAATATTGTTGGCAATGACAACGTCTTTAATTATTTCTTGCAAAAAAAACCCATTTCACATTCGCGTTGGCTGACAACAGCGAATCGTTTGTCGCGATTGAATATTGCAACAGCAAGTCCTAATACAAAACTGCGAAATCTGGTCGAATTAATTGTAAAAGTTTATACTCTGGTTTGGCTTCCGATAAAAAGGAACCGAAATGTTATTCAGGCTCTCATAATTTATTTTTGATCGTTTCACTTTCAAGAAATCTTGACAAAGATGTAAAAATGTCTTCAATTCTGTAATTCAAAGGAATGCATATTTCGCTCATTCAGAAAACATGTTACTTGCAATAATGATTAGATATTCGCGTTGAAGAATAGAATAAAATTTTCACTAGCAGGAATTCTGAATAATCATTGACGGTGCAGCTATTTCAGGTGTCACAATTGAATTTTTGATGCTGAAGTTTACACAGACTTAATTGATTGGAAAACTGTGACTGAACCTCCCATAATAAAGAATATCCCGAATGAGAATTTGACAAGTTGGTCATTAATGAAAATGATAATTAAAAAATAATTAGATTATCCTTGTCACACACAGGTTGTCGAAAGCTTTGTCAAACTAGTAACTGAAGCACCAAAGTCCGTTTGTGGATATGACGCAGGAATTATTTCCACATTAGATGGAACTTATGCCATCATTTGAAAAAAAATATAATGTTGTTGCGGATTCATAAGTTTATTAATTTATTCATAAGTAAATTATAAAACCAAATTAAAGTAAAACGATTCTCTGTTGTTTCTCAAAATCGATTTGTACAGGGAAAAACAACGTTAGGCTACCACAAATGTTATTGACGAATATTTAAAGTTTGCTATTTCTTCCAGCGACAAAGTTTCTTCAATGTCCGACAATTTGCTCTCCGTTTTAACACACATGATATTTGGCAATTTTTTGTACTGTATGGAAACCCTGTAGTTTTTCTAGTACGTAGGTAAATTTTTCTACTACAACCTTTGCAATTTTTCCTGGCCCAGATTGAACCTCTAGTAAGAGACTTTTTATTAAATTTATATTTGTGATAAGTAACACGTCATTTTGTTAGAGCGCTGTGATGGCTATGGAAGTGCAGTTGAAGCGTGTGTCTTAATATAAATTAAGTCCTCCGTTATTCCATCTCTACCTATAGCAACCTCCACTTCAACAATGCTTTCTGCTCCATTTTCATTAAGATCTTTTCATACATTCTCAATAATATCAAAATGTTGTCAATACTAAATGGTAGCATCTAACCAGGTCTTAATGACCAAAGGAGGAAGAGAAACTCCCGGAGCCAATTATTTATACAAATTGATCCTGCTTGGAGATTTAAGGAAAACCTTTTTAACGCTTAATATTAAAAAATTTACAGTAGGAAAATTTAAGCGCACAGTTTCATTCAGGCGGTGAAGTGCATATGCCAAGCATGTTAGATGAATCGTTATTTTATAAGGAAGCTTTACATTCCCTCCTGCCTTAATCATATACGGGGCCGCATCCGCTGCGAACAACACTACGTTTTCATATCTTAAGACCGCAGGCCACAGCAACATTGTATTATTGAACACTTTCGGTATTGTATGATTTTTTATTGCTATTTCTTCAATCGCTGGAAGAAGATAGGCCTTTGAAATTTCATTTTGAGCGAGTGTACCAGTGTTATCTACAACTCAGTGAGCATGAGGATGCAATCAGTTTTGCGGATTAAACAAGGTAGAACAATTAAGGTCAACATTGACATCATACTATATGTTTATGTACTCCATATTATGATGTACATACTGAACCTACTGTGCATTCTTTAAGACTTGCTAATTTTGCATTGCTTGCTCTGACAATAATAAACATAACAATATACAAAAAAACCGTTGCAACTTGAACAACATACCTAACTGTTTAATTAGAGACGAATTTCCCGCCATCTTCTAGCGCACCTTACAACTAAATATATTTTTATACTCTTTCATTGGACATTGGGAGTTTTCACCCACCGTTTCCTTCCTCATGTAACTCATCCATTTCTGCAAACCATGTGCTCGCCATGACGGATATTTTCGCACGAAAATTGTTGGATTCTAATTATCGCGTTTCAATTCATTTTTCTTTGTGGAAATACATATTATACCCTAGTACGCAATTTCAAGAAAAACTCGGCAATTTCGCAACAACGCACAACACAATACATAAAATACACGTTAAAAAGCTATCTTCAAAGAATCAATAAGTCGCGGAAATTCCTTGTAAATACTGATAACCTGTGACTCGTAAATCACGTGGACCACGACCTTTTGGCAAACATGCGTGCGTGTGTAGTGCGGTTAAGAAGCTCCACCATCCTAATCCGCTCTGAAGTCAACAGTCTTCAGCACGTGACCACTGGGATTCCCAAACCTAATGAAAAGGGGAGGTGCTAAAAGAGGGCGATTGCGAAGCTTTGGGAGGGGGTTCAGAAGCAGCCAATGAGAAGTCAGAGGTGCGACAGTCCGCGTCAAATCACTGTCGCCCGAAGCCTTGCAACTGGCGCTCAGCACATGGTGAGAGTACAATGACCTCGGAAACGAAGCGAATGTTCTCGGCCTATCACATCCAGGGAGGGAACAGACACCTAGCATGGACATGGAAGACAGGACATGGACACACAGCGCATGGAAAAAACGAAAAGTACAGACAGAACAGAGAGATATACTTTAGGTACATACTTTAACAAGTTTTAAAAGAGCCCTTAATAACATGGGGATGCGACACATCACTCGCATACATTGAGCCTACGCCACTGGAGCACACCAACAATTACGTACAGATCGTTTACATGCATCAGGCGTATCGTACAAACTAACGAGGATCAGATTATCTTTCATAGAATCACGAATTTCTTGTACAGTTTATTCATAGATTAATGGAACATAATGTTTGCGAAGAGTCGACTCATGTGGAATATATTATTTCGTATAGGCCTATGTTTCTAGGAACGCATGTAATTGAGGATGTTCTAACTTATACAGTGGAATGCCAGCACAAGTAAAAGCCTCACATACGTTCGTGAAAAAGGTTGACATCGGGGGGCCCAAAGTTGAACTAGTTGTTTCGTTTGGAGTATTTACTTTTAGCATCAACTGTTTACTACTTTTTTACGTGTTTTACCGTTTTCAAATATTGTGTCACTTGGAAACGAGTATCCGCACTTACTGTATACTCTTTTATCACACGGAACACAAAATAACACGATCCCATCAGTAATTAGCACATTTTCATTTTCATGCATGTACAAATGGAGTTGAGTGGATAATGTTCTCTTGACTGGTGGCACTTTGGAGAAAAGAGAGCGTCTTTTTTAACCACAATACTACTTAGACATTTTTTTGTGAAAATAGTAAAATATGTATAATTCTAAACATTTGCTCTAAATATTATGCAATTATAAAATCTTCCAAAATATGTAAAAACATGCACTATATAAACTGCATTTCTCACCGGAGAAATATTGTTCGGTTGACTTATTGAAATAAATTTAAATGTAATAGGAAAAGTTATTTTTACATAACTATCTTAGCCCTACATATTATTAAGGGAATGGTAGGAAGAATTCGTTTTAAGGAGATTATAGTTCGAGGTTTCTGATGATATATATTTATTTGACAATCATTAAACCATAAAATGAGGAGATTTAGATCATCTTGTAGATTGTCTCTACCTATAAGCAGATCAGTATGAGTGGTCGTCTGCAAAAAGGCAATGACTGAATGTAAGAGATAAGGTATATCAAAAACAAAAAACAAAAAAAAAAATACATTAGAACGCATAATTGATAAAGGTGAGCCTTGGGAAAGTCCAGCTTGCATATTATGAACTCTTGAGAAAGTGTTATTTATTTGAACTTTGAATTTTCGATGAATTAAAAAGGATTTTATTATATTTTGTAAGAAATTTGGGAGGCCAATATTTCTCAATTAAAACAAATATCCATCATGCTAGATTTTATCAAATGCTTCTTTTTACATCTAGAAATATAACAAGAGTATGTCGTAATTTTTGGAAATTGAGAGCAATATCATTTTTTAAACAAAGTAATTGATGGGTAGTAGAATTATGTCTAAATCCAAATTGCTTACTAAGAAGAATATTATTTTGATTAATAAATTAATTAATTCTGGTTAAAATTGTTTTTGAAATATTTTTAAACAAATCGGAAGCAAACTAATTGACCTAAGATTTTCAGGTTTTGTTCGATCTGCATTGGGTATATTGGGTAATATTGGTAATTCGTATAAGAGTAGTTTTCCAGGGCTTTGGAAAGTAGTGGTCTAAAACGCATTACAAACGCATTACATGTATGCTAGTGAGTTGTAGATGGTTAATTTATATATTATTAATTTGATCTAATCATGATAATTTCTTGTTTTTAGTGTGGAAATTATGTATTTGATTTCAGAAGGAAAATTAATTTAATTCTGTCAGGAACTGTGTAAAATGGGTTCGTTAATGTTTGAACTGTGGTTTGTTGACAAAAGGTTGATTATTAGAAAAAGAAAGTTCAATATGATTTGCTACTAGTTCTACTTTTTCTGAACAAGTAGTTGCTATAGTGTAGTTGTTGTTATTATTATTATTTGTTATTATTATTATTATTATTATTATTATTATTATTATTATTATTATTATTATTATTATTATTACTGGTGTAATTGCTTTTTTGTCATTTGTTATGTATGTAATTTTTTTGTGATTCAAAGGTATTAATTATTAAACGATCATTGTTCATTTCTTTTAACCATAAACTTTTCGAAAAGACAACCTTAAATTGTCGATAACGTTCATTTATATAACGAATTTAATGAATATATACGTTTTTCAACGTTTTGCCCTCCATTTTGGATCGGCTATTTCACATTTTAATAATTTGACTTCAGATTAGTAATCAGTAGACCAAGGTACCCTCATGCGCCAAATTTTTTGAAAAACAATGCTCTTTTCAAATTTTTGCCATATTAGATCAGCTATTTTAAATTTTAAAATCTGACATTTGATTTGTATTCAGCGACCCAAAAAACCTCTATGCAGGTATTTTCTTGAACAATGAGCCATTAAAACACTGTATGGGTATAAAAACCACAAATATTGAAAAAATGGTACTTTTTAGCCATTTTTAACAATGAATACATCCACATCAAGCACAATCTGGCGAAGACGTAAGTAACTAGTTCTGGCGGGATCGTGGAAACGAAATCACAATGCATTTTTGTGTAATTACTCGGGCAAGTGCAACTGAATTCGATTTTACAATAGTAGAAACTGCCCGTGTAACTTAATCGCTCGAGTTTCTAGTGGAAAGTAGTACTCGCAATTTGCTAAACGTCTGGAAGCTCTGTTGTTTTTAATGTATTAAAATAAGAAAGAGTTATACATTTTAAGTTTATCTCATATTTCATAGTCATAATAAGTTATTCTTATTAATAAAGACGCGAGTAACTTCAATAATAAACTCTTACCTCAGGTGCAACCAGCTTGTCACCTACACTGAAGTGAAATGACACCGGAACAGTCGTTTTACTCAAGTTGTATTTGGGTGGCGACTGCGAACCATAGTGGAAACTGTTACTCAGAAAATAGTCAAATTGTTGAAACGTATCTGCAAAAAGAATACAAAATCATTGGAATCATAATATTACGTAATAAAAATTTGCTCAATTTTCTACACACTTACATCAGAGTTCTACGACGAAAATATGAAAGTCAGTTACAACCAAATGCCAAAACGTTTGCTTTTGTGGTCAGGAAAAAAATATATTTGAAAAATAGGACCCTTAAATGAATGGTATATAATATTGATATAAATATACATTTCAGCCGATGTTAGTAATAGAAGCAAAAATGTTGCCAATATGTGAAGCACCATTTTAGAAATCAAAGGCGAATTCAGGAGGAGTGGCGTTCACCCCCCCCCCCAATTTTGAGGGACAATTAAAAATATATATTTAGACATTTCATATTGCGGATTTTCAAATTTATATTATAATATATTTACTTTTTCTGTATTTTGAGAAAAAACCTGTGAGTGTGCGTGAGCGTGGGCATTCCCGTGCACCGTACTCGAAACGAATGAGATGTCATTCGACGCGTCTCGGTCACCTGGTGGGGAAATGATAATTTGATTTTGGATTCCGCCTGAAGATTCTAAAAAAAATCCCAAAACCTGTTTTTACGTTTTTTAACGCTACCTTCTTTGTGAGTATGCCGGGAATTAAACCAACTCCACCCACATAGATCTGTGTAGGTTACGTTGAATGCGACAAGTAAATCCCCGAGGCCCCGCGGCACATTTCATTTAATTTGCATCCTATTAACGTCTTTTTGAAAATATATGTGCAAAAACCTACGAAGAGTATTGCCTTGGAACTTACTAAACTTGAAAAACTCCAACGTCAGAAAAATACGGAGAAAACCAAAGTGAGTAAAACACACATTCTTACGTTCGACTTCTCACATTTACTTTCGAACGATTTTTGAACGACATTCGAACGATTTTCAAATGAATATGACGAATAACTTATTCTTACTAAAACGTAACAACTAACACCTTATTTACAAAAACATATAAAACAGTCGCCTTTTAATTTTTATATAGATTCACCTATAAAACGATAAATGGAGCAATTGTACAAGTAGAAGTGATTGGAATTAGACTGATGAAGTTTTGATGTCTTCAAAAATTAGGGGAGAAAAATTTGGAAGTGTTAAGCAAACCCATAATAAAATGTAGTCGTAGAAGATTTTACAACAGAATTTTCAGAACTAATTGAGGATGATCTTGTTAGAGAATAACGCTAAAGGACCAGCAGTTAGATGATTTTTTATAAGAATTCGTGTGCATATATTGGCAAAAAACGTACAAAATGGGAGATGTACTAAATTCTAACTATTTGCACCCTCGTACCTGCTATACCCTAAATTGAATGCATTAATTTGAAAGCGTATTTTATTGTATTGTACCGTATTGTTTAGAATTGCAAGGCACATACGAATATTATAATTAAATAAATTTTTCCCTTACAAATTCCCTAGCGTTTTTAATATCCCGAATGCTGGAAAATAGGTGTTTCTCACGAAACAACGTTTCGAGGGTCCCTGATACGATAAAAAGTATGTTTTCCAGCATTATTTGTTATTTATGGAAAGATAGTTGGCAAACGGAAAACTTCAGGCCGTTGTATACGTAAAACGATTTTCTTTAACGGATCTTCGAAAGAAGACATTTTCAACACTGCGAAACGTACGGATTCAAAAAAGCCATCGAGTGACTAACTTTTGTGTGATTCGGAAATTCTAACGTGTACACACTGAGCGTTAGAGACCAAAAAAAATGCGCGATTACAATTTTTGGAAAGGTGAGAGAGTGAATATATGTGAATGACGTAGAGTAAAACTTTATAATATATTTTGGAAGTATATTTTTCATTATAATGTAATATATATTGTAAATAATGCACGATATTTGTTTAATGCCAAGTGCACGTTGAGAAAAAGCCAACCTGTTTTCTCCACTGAATGTTTTTTGTTATATTAAATGTTTTTAGAGTAATTTCACTTTTGTGTTATTATAAAAGAGAATATGTTGTTTTAATGGTAATGTCGATACCATTATCAAAAAAGTTTCATTGGTTTTTTGAACAACAAATCAATTTTCATTACAAATGTATAATAAACATTCAAATAAATTCACAAAACCATTGCAGCCATTTTGAAAGTGTATGTGATTTAAAATGGTTTTATTTTTTTTCCTACAGCTCAGCAATCAAAAAATCTGAAAAAGTTACGTTTTGTGTTTTAAGAAGAACTCAGGTTTCTTTCAAGCCTGTTCCAGGGTTCTAAGAGTATAAAATTATTTTTTGTTAAGAAAAAACTTTGCGTCGGAATTTGGCACTAAGAAAATATCAAACATTGCTTTTCTGATAGTATATTTTTCATACTTTTTCCAATAAGATAAAATTGCGTTAAGTTCGCAAAAAATTAAAATTAAAAACACGTTTCTGGCTGTAGAGGTGGGTGGGTATTGGGACGAGGGCAAAGAAAAATGTTTCAAAAATTTTATGTTCATGTTATAATTCAGTGTGTCAACCCATATGACATTTGGTTTAAGATAACTTGTTACTATCTTATGCGGGGGACCCTTTGACCCCCCCCCCCCCAATAACAGATCCGATATACAGCCACTGTTACAAGTTGTTATTCAACAATTTCTAGTAATTTCGTAACACCAAGGCTCGAAAATTCATTAATTTTGCTGAAATTATATCTAAAATAGCCATAAAATGTACATAAAATTATTTTGTATATTATTCCAAAATGCCAAAGGAAGATGGTACAATCTTACAAATATCTCACTAATACACAATAGTTCTAACAAGTCAACCAGAAGCTAAGCGCAACGCCTCCACCCCACCTAATCATGGCCAAACGTAGGATCAGAACCCCAAACCGTATGCTTTCATCACAGTAAATCAGCGCCCCTGTTCAGCTCCCTGTGCAATGGCGCACAACGCAACCCTCAACACCCTGAAGTATTGCGTCTGACCCAGCGATTGCGAAATAACGCCCGAAGGAGGCAGGTATATACATTATACAGATAGGAGAGAGAGAGGAGAGAGAGTAGAGAGAGGAGAGAGGAGAGAGAGGAGAGAGGAGAGAGAGG